ATATATATATATATATATATATATATATATATATATATATATATATATATATATATATATATATATATATATCATTCAAAAACATATATAGCTTGGTCACATTCATTGATGCATTAACTAAAGACCAGCTGGAGTCTATTGTGACACACTGTCAATGGCGTGTAATGAAGCGTTATTTTATTTTCCAAGCAAACACAAAATATTGAAGGAATGTTATTTAGGGCAATAATTGATATATCATCAACTATGGAAAATGGGATAATGAAAATGAACCACGATCAGTTCATTGGTATAAAATCACGTGGTTCATTTTGGATTAAAGTCAATACAATAACCAAGTTATAAAGTTAGGAATTTTAATATTAGTTTTCTATATTGTTGAATATTAATGATAATATATATTATATAATGAGCATAAAGATATAAGATACTTAAAAAATTATATATACCGATTTTATTCTTAAGATAATTAGTATTTCTTCCCGCACGGGAAAACATTTCAATATTAAAAAAAATATATATTTAAATACATGACAGTAAAAACTGTAATAGGAAAAAATGTGCTCATTTTATCATAGTTCAAGAGTTTGCTCGTGAGGTATATCTATCTATTACTAGCATTTTTCCCGTGCGATGCATGGAATAACATTTCAAATGTGAAAATAATGATTAGTTTAATACTTGACAATAAAAATTATGATAAAATTTATTAGTGATATCGTAATAACATCAACATTTAATTTAATATTAAATAAATTAAGCAAAGAAAGATTTGAGAAAATAGGAGATGAAAATAATTGCAACAATTAAAAAGATATAGATGTAATGGATTAGGATTTTGGTAGTCGAAATTTTGTGAGAAAGTAATTAGAAAAAAGTGGCTGCAAAATAGAATATATATATATATATATATATATATATATATATATATATATATATATATATATATATATATATCGGTTAGAATTTTACAATTGTTTGATGGCTCTTTGATGATCCAAAGGAATGTTGACTTTCTGCAAAATGGGATATGTTCATATGCCGTATCTACTGCTGATTTCTGTGTGTGTGTGTGTGTTTTATGTGCATTTCCATGTGGTGAAATATTATTTATCATTTGATATTTTGATTAAGAAATATTAGGTTTAGTCAAATTCAATCAATTATTTATATATATATATATATATATATATATATATATATATATATGAATATAATTTAGCATTTGATGAATTATATATATTCTTGCTCCAAAAGGCGAAATCCCTCGCCCCCAGGGCCCCCATCCCTTGGCCCGACAAGGATTGATGGAGTAATGTAAATCATGGTAACTCAACGGCCCGTTAAGGTAGCGGACCCGGACTTGGTGCCCACAACGAACCAACCCTCATTTGGAGTTGAAATTATATATATTCTTGATTGAATGACACGAGAATTTCATAGTAGGTATAATGTCAAAACTCAAAAATATATGAAAAAAATATATATTTCTTAAGAATGAAGCTATAAGGCTTGAAATTATATGTTTTATTGAGAAATTAAATCTAACTTTGTCCAAACTAAATGTTCAAGAAAAATCAAATTCCAATATAAGAAAAGTATAGATTATATAAATATTATATTATAATTTAATATACTTTTTTAATAATTTGTTACAAGTATTGACCATAACACATTAACAGAATGCTGCACAAATGGTTGATTCCTTTCCACATGGCTATTCACATAATTGACATTATCACACGCCATTTGGACAGAATATTATTTCAGAAATCGTTTATACAAATGCTAATTACAAAAGTCTTCACTTTGTGGAAGAATGGTGGCATTCAAAAAAATAAAAAAATAAAATTAAAAATTAAGTTTAATTTTGTGGAATAATTTGGAGCATTTAAATTAAAGGTTTTATTGAGACCGTACTTTATACAAAAACTTGACTTGAATGAAGCCAAACAAAAAATATATATTTTTTAAACTTATAAGAATATCCAAATAAAATAAGTTAATTTGACAATATCAAATTTACCTACACAAGAAAGCTCAAAAATTTATTATTTGTGGTAAATAGATTATTTATTTGCATTTTGACTACCTCAAAATTATAAAAATTATAAAAATTATTTGTGATGTATTGTTTATAGTTAATACATGATGGGAAATAGAGAGTAATCAAAGTAAAATGAAACAAAAAATCAATCTTGAGACTTCTTTATAGTTAGGGCAGATTACTAGCAGCCCTGATGTCTAGTTAGTTGCGGGAAAAAAAATTTGTTTGCATAATTACGAGCACCCCTCTAGATATTCTTCATCTAATGAATTTAATCTCATAAAGTTAACAATAACGAAAGCAAATAGATACCGTAGAACATCCATTTTGTATGACCAGAATACCCGTAGGGGTCTAATTATAAGGTTTGTAAAATAATCCTTTTTTTTATAATCAAATCTACAGTTGATATTTTTCAATGTAAATAATCAAGGGTAACATTTAACCATCGTGAATTATCTCGCTATTTCAGGAGAAGGTTCATTGTGATGATGAGGAAACCAAATGTAAAATATTGCATGGTTAGTGGAAATATTAATAATAATTAAATTAGTGGTGCAAATGTAAACCGGATGACATGTTTTAATAGAAAAATCGGATATCATAGGATGATTGACACATGGATAGTTTAATTTAAATAAAAATATAATTATAATTCTAATAATTGGAAAAAAGGAAAAAAGAAAATCCCACCATAATCTGCAACCCATGATTATAATAGCGTGATTTATTAAGCGTTACGACTTAAGAATGCCACATGTCAAAAAATTAATAGAATCCGATTTATATTAAATATCAGCTGATCCCCTCAGGATTTAATCTCTTAAATTAGTAATAATAGAACTTGTATCAAATAAACAGAAATACAAGGAAAAAATCAAAGTCGACATATTATTGGTCTATGGGATTAAATAAAGTCTTTGACAAGTCCAGCTATAATAGCCTCATTCAACTAATTAATTTTATATTTTCACCAACAATTAGATCAATTAAAATTTTAAATATATCTTGAATTAGTCATGAATTGACAGCTCTACTGTAACGAATGTTTCCGATCAACTGCTTCACTATATATACCAACTCATTTTATCACATTTCAAATCATCCCTTCTCATAATTAAGCAGCTTTTAATTACTTTACAATTAATAATTGATCTTAAGCCGAGGAGAATAATAATCGATTTCACGTCGATCGGTCGGGAGCTGGTGGGCATTTTCCAGAGGCGGAATGATGAGTGATCACGGCCGAGGCCTTGCCTCGATTGGCCGTATAGTAGTGCCACATG